GATTATTATAAATATGACGAAAAACATTGTTAAACAAAATAAGTGAGTATGTCTAAATGGATGATAGAACAGGGTTTTGTAGAAATACCAAAAAGAGAAAATTTATCAAGAGATACAAGGGCGGGAAGTTTCGGAGAGCCATGGACACATACTTAGTGATGGGACAAGAAAAATGAAGAAGATTTGACATATATATATATATATATATATATATATATATATATATGTGGCTCAAACACTAATATTCCATGGTTATAATTTATTATCAGTTCATCCCATAAGTTCTGTCCTAATTTTAACTTTTTTTTTTAAATGAACGATATTTAAAGTGTATTTTATAATGTCTAATGGAGCTGAACATTATTTTTATGTTTAGATGCATTTAAACTGATCAAATTTTATTTCAGAGAACAATAAAATTAAATTTTGTTTCATTAAAACCCTGCTAACATGGAACTACCCAAGAATCATTTGAGGCACATAATGCTTTATGAGTTCAAAAAAGGAAACTCAGCAGCCGAAGCGGCTAGAAACATTCACTCAGTTTATGGAGAGGAATGTGTGAATGAAAGAACTTGCAGAAGATGGTTTGCAAAATTCAGAGGTGGAGATTTCACCCTTGAAGATGAAGATCGAACCGGATGTCCAGTTGAGTTCGATGAAAGGCTTCTTGAAGCCGCCCTTGAAGAAATTACTTCTTTATCATTTGAGGAATTGGCAGTGGTTCTCAGTTCAAACCATACAACTGTTCATCGTCATCTTCAACAACTTGGAAAAGTTCCTAAACTTGGAAAATGGGTGCCTCATGAATTGTCTGAAAACAACCTCAAATCCCGATATGATATCTGTTCTTCTCTCCATTCTCGCCAACTTGTTTCACCTTTTTTGGATAGACTTGTGACTGGAGACGAAAAATGGATCTTTTATCGAAATGTTAAGCGTCGTAGACAGTGGCTTGGTAAAGGGGAAGGACCCCAGCCGAGAAGAGAATTTCATGGGCAAAATTTTCTTCTTTCAATCCGGTGGGATCGCCAAGGAATAATCCACTTTGAATTCTTACCACCTAATGCAACAATTAATGCTCAAATATACTGTCAGCAATTAGAGCGTTTGAACCAAGCTTTGAGGAAAAAAGAGGTGATCTTACATCAGGACAAAGCGCGACCCCACACAGCAAGGATCATGTCACAAATGATCTATGAATTTGGTTGGAAGAAAATTCCTCATCCACCTTATTCTCCTGATCTTGCTCCTTCAGACTACCATTTGTTTCGTAGCTTACAGAATAATTTGGAAGGAACAGCTTTTGTAACACAGGATGATGTTAAAACTGACATTTGTGAATTCGTCGAATCAAAACCAAAAGAATTTTACAGTAATGGAATTAGTAAGCTTGTTAATAGATGGAAGGAAGTCATAGATAATCAGGGAAAATACATTGTTGATTGAATCTGTAATTAAATTTAACATCTGGTCACTTGTTGAATTTTTCTTTATTCCAAATTCGGACAGAACTTATGGGATGATCTGATATATTGTAATCGTAATGACGATAGAATTCATCAGACCGACAAATTCAAAAAAACTTTTGGAATTTATCGGTCTGATGAATTTTTATATTATATTCTTGCTCTGTCTTGTACATTCACCTCTACCTGGATTCTATCATCTTGCAACATATATATATATATATATATATATATATATATATATATATATATATATATATATATATATCATATTTTCCCAGGTGTCATTGGCTAATTTTATGCATATTTAGTGTAATGTCTGTATGTGCATTGTATCTTTAATGTTTTGCGAATGTATATATATTATCGAATTACGAATAATTCCGCTTACACTAAAAGGGAATTCCACTTGAATAATAAATCGAGTCATCATTCCCAATGATTAATATTTGCTACAACACCGTATTTCCTTGGCCTGCTCCAAAAAACTTAAACAACTATATTGTTGTTCATTGTTGACTGTCAAGTTTTATCTGAATTCTACTCGTTAAAAACAGCAATTTACTTTATGGGGAATAAGTGTCTTTCAGTTTAACATCTGAAAATTCCAGACCAAACACAATTAAGCGCTACGATGTGTTCACATGAGAGAGAATGTTACATGTAGACAAATCGTGACGTTATTTATACAAAATGTAATAAATATTTCTTTTTTTTAATCGTATTAACCCATTGCAATGGTTTATAGAGCCTGAAAGAATTAGAAAAAAAAAGAAGCGTTATTAAGGTGCGCAAATCAGAGAGGAATAATCAGAAAGATAATAGACAGCGATTAAAATTGCATTTAAATTTCGAAGAGAAACTTTATTATGGAGCGAGTACAAGAGCAGAGTAGTCAGCAAAAGAATAGATAAACATTGGCAGATTGGTTTAGCATTTAAATATAAAGTGAAACATTATAAAGGATCAAGGACAATAGAAGAATACTCAGGAAGGCAATAGATGACGACTGACATTGCATTTAACTTTAAAACAGAAAAAATTCTTTAGGATCATGCACAATAGAAGAGAAATCAGGAAGACAGTAAGTAACGAATGACATTGCATTCAAATTTAAAAGAGAAACATTAAATAGAGCGAGTACAATAGAGGAGTAATCAAGAAGACAAAAGATAATGACTGTATATAAATCTAAAAGAGAAACATGATTATGGATCAAGGATAATACAAGAGTAACCTGGAAGACAGTAAATAACGGTTGATATTGCATTTAAATTTAAAAGAGAAACATTATTAAGGAGCCAAAATGATAGAAGCACAATAAGGAAGACATTAAATAACGATTGATATTGCATTTAAATTTAAAAGGGAAACATTATTAACGAAGGAGAACAATAGAAGAGTAATCAGGAAGATACTCGATAATGGTTGACATTGCATTAAAAAAATTTTTAGTTTAAAGTCGTCATGAGGTTATGTAGCCGAAAGTGTGTTTCGCAAGCTAAAAGTGCGGCAAAGTAACTGTTGACATAGAAGTTACGGTTGCATCTAGCCAACTGACCTGTATATCAATAAAACCTCATTGCCAGTCTAGTACTGCACTTGTTTTCATAAAGTTTGGGTAATATAAAGAAGACCTCATCCGAACTATTACCATGGAAGTATTTATAACTAGCAGCATGACCCGGCGTTGCCCGTGCTTGATTCAAAAATCGTGCAACTCATACTGCAATCGCTATCACTTGACTTAAAATATTTTTGTCCTTCCTTGCCTTTAAAGGAGTGCCATTTGCAGGTGCTGATGTTGCTACATGTCTTACTTCTAGCCTATTGATCAAGAGAATAACAGGAATCCGTTTCAGTAGCAGCTTAGAGTAGGCACACTAACCAACGCTAACAGCAGGAGTAGAATGAGAAAACAAAATGAATACAAAAGAGGCAACGAGAAACCACTCCATTATATTTTTCAAAACAATTACCATTCACAGATAAGGAATTTGTAGAAAGGCATATTCATCCAATCTTGAAGGGACGTGGAACCGAAGCAATCACCCATATTTGTCTACCACTGTTCTTGTCGTAGATGTCGACAGCGAAAATCTTTCTTTTTAATGTACACTAGCAGCATGGCCAGGTGTTGCCCATGCTTGATTCAAAATTCCTACGACATACGACATCGCTATCAGCAAAAATATTTTCGCTAAAGGAGTGCCCATTTTGCTGTTACTTGATTTAAAAATTTTTCTAAGCTCTATACTAAACATTTTTACGAAAAAAAGAACCCACTTCCCTTAAAAAAGGACTTAACTGGAAAAACCGAATGAAAAAAAGAATGTTAACAACAAATAACACCCAACCAGTTCTGCCCATTTTTAAGCAAACGAATGAGCCAATTGATGTTGCAGATACATTTTTTCCTTTACTTTTTATATCCCATTCATTGCGAATTTTTTCTTTACACTCTGGGAGTTTTTTCTAAGCTCTATATTAAACATTAAATCTCTTGTTACGAAAAAGAACTAAACAAAATGAACACAAAACGACACAACACACACACACACACACACACACACACACACATTTAAAAAGGACTCGAGATATAGTAACTGAAAAAACCGAATGAAAAAATGTAAGATAGATTCTGGAACCAAAGAATGTTAACAACAAATCTAGGAATATTTAACTTTTTCACACCCAACCCAGTTCTTTCGAATCAGAATCAACGTTAAGTTTAAGATACAAACGAATGAGCCAATTGCATGAAATGAGTAAAGTGATCTTTATGCAGATTTAAATTTTTCCCACTTGATTAGTCAGACGAATGCAAAACAATTTGCTATCGATTTTTTTTTTTTTTTAAATTACACAAAAATGCATGCTAGTTAACATTCATGTCAACCACGTCAACTGTTGGCTCTAACGTTGGCCAATAGAATCTTCCTGCCTATTCGCGATAGCCAGCTATTGGTTCTCACCAGGGGAAATTATCTGGCCAGTAGAAAATTGCCGCAAACTAATTCTGGAGTGAAAACTAGCCGTAGAAGCATGAAAAATCGATTATTTACACTATCGATGGGAGTTGGGAAATGTAAAGTCGGTCTTGGCCTTCCTGCTAACTTGAAGCATGTGCATGTAAATTTTGCTGCAAATCCGTCGAAAATTGCGGCCATGCATCCTGCCTTATATATATATATATATATATATATATATATATATAGAGAGAGAGAGAGAGAGAGAGAGAGAAAGAGAGAGAGAGAGATGGATGAATAGAGATAGATAGAATATCAAAAATAATTTTTACAAACGTTACATCTAAAACAAAAAAAAATAGAATAAAATAGTGTAACGGGCATTCACAACGTTCGTTGGTGATTGATGAATTGATTTGACATTCTAGGCTCATCAACTTCTTACACGTTATTTAATATCTGTGGATATTAATATATCCTGATAAAATGTTCTACAAATTAACTCATAACTGGGGAGAAGGAGGTGCATTTATACATCTCCCAGGGATTTTTATTCGTACGTTTACAACAGCTGGTATTCTCAAGCGGTCATCCATCAAGTTCCAGAGCAGACACGACGTTGCTTAACTTCAGTGATCATATGTGAACCGGTGTTTCAACGTGATATGGTCGTAAACCAAACTACTTTCATAGATTAGCTGTCGAATTTAGACCGGGCAATTGACTTGGCCAATATAACGTAGGGAACGTGATAACTGACCATCCGTCAAATAATTTGTTTTTTCTTTGTGTTGTGGATTCCGGGATGAAATCAGGTACCAATTAATAACCAACGCCTAGAAGGGGTATAGGAAAAATAAAAGTATTAATGTAATAATACAAACTGGTAATGAAGGTTAGTAGTTCCAGGAATACGGGTTAGTAGCAAAATATATATACAGTCTTTGGTATTGAAGTATCACTGTATGAATTTTTACTGTGTCTACTTGCTCGCTCACGGTGACTCTTCTGGCTACGTTCGTTCTGTCTGTCTGTCCTTCACCCTCTGTTGCTCTCGTCTCTTGGGTCTTCATGTAGCAGTAGTATATTATATACTGGGTGAGTCCATTTGTGTAAAAAGGGGAGAACCCTTCAACACTTTATTTTTATGCATCCAATAGTTGTGTATGTGACTTTAGATGATAGCATAGTCCTACTAATTTCTATTCCGACTAATATTTGAATGATAGTCTAAGATAACACGAACATTGAACTTAAAAACAGGAATGCTTTAACTCTAAAACGTAAAAACTAAAGAATCAACCTTGAATAAAATAACAAGGATTATCAGCATTCAGATAAAATGACTAAGATGTTCACTATGCGCAGGTTCAACAACAAGACCCTATCTTACCCTTTAAAACAAATTAATGATTGCTTCATGGAAGAAATGTTTATTATCGTATTAGCGATTGCTCCGTTATTGTTGTGGACCCAGAATAGGTCCGAAAGAAAACTCGAACTCAGCAATTTAGTGAAAACATTATTAAACAAAAAGAACGAATACAAAAATGTTGCATGTCCGACTGACGGCAAAGTACAGTAGTCTACTCGTCAACAATATTTAACAGTCCCCCCACGAGGAATGTGTGTGGCACAAGGCCGAGTTTAACGTGGGTTTTTCCGAGCCCGTAGGCTCGGCCAAAAATATACACTTTGACGGGTTCAGGGCCTGTCTACCTCTCCGGACGAAACTTTGCTCTTCGGCAAAGCTTCGTCCGGGTTCCTCTCTGCTAACGAAGAGAGTTCGACAGAAAGAAGTCGTACACAGAAGACGTACACAGTCAGAGACTGCGGGTCAACTGAAGACAGCGATATTTAGTTACCCCCCTCCATGAGGGTTACATGTGATACAAGGCCAGTTTAACGTGGGATCTCCCAGCATGTAGGCTCGGCAAAAAATAATCCCTCCTTGAACCCGCATTAATGTAATCAGGGACAGTCAACCTCCCCGAACGAGAATCTGCCCTTCGGCGGCGCCTCGTCCGGGTTTTTTTCCCGCCAGAAGGCTGAGATTTCGACTGTTTAGCTGTAACAGGTCAACTGCAGACAACAATATTTATCAGTCCCTCCACGTGGAATGTATATGGCACAAGTCCGGGGTTTATGTGGGTTTCTCCGAGCCCGTAGGCTCGGCCAAAAATATGCCCTTTGAACCCGCCTAGACGGGTTCAGGGCCTGCCTACCTCCCTTTGCCCTTCGGCAAAGCTTCGTCCGGGTTCCTCTCTGTCAAAGCAGAGAGTTCGACAGAAGTCGTACACAGTAGACGTACACATTCAGAGACTGCGTGTCAACTGTAGACAGTGATATTTCGTTACTCCCACATGAGGATTACATGTGACACAAGGCCAGTTTAACGTAGGATCTCCGAGTCCGTAGGCTCGGCAAAAAATAATCCCTCTTTGAACCCGCATAAATGTATTCAGGGTCAGTCAACCTTCCCGAACGAGAATCTGCCCTTCGGCGGCGCCTCGTCCGGGTTTTTTTCCCGCCAGAAGGCTGAGATTTCGACTGTTTAGCTGTAACAGGTCAATTGCAGACAACAATATTTATCAGTCCCTCCACGTGGAATGTATGTGGCCCAAGACCGAGTTTAACGTTGGTTTCTCCGAGTCCGTAGGCTCGGCCAAAAATATGCCCTTTGAACCCGCCTAGACGGGTTCAGTGCCTGCCTACCTCTCCGGACAAACTTTGCCCTTCGGCAAAGCTTCGTCCGGGTTCCTCTCTGTCAAAGCAGAGAGTTCGACAAACTCGTACACAGTAGACGTACACAGTCAGAGACTGCGTGTCAACTGTAGACAGCGATATTTAGTTACCCCCCCATGAGGGTTACATGTGACACAAGGCCAGTTTAACGTGGGATCTCCAAAACCGTAGGCTCGGCCAAAAATATACCCTTTGAACCCGCCTAGACGTGTTCAGGGCCCGTCTACCTCCACGGACGAAACTTTGACCTTGGGAAAAGCTTCGTACGGGTTCCTCTCTGCCAAAGCAGAGAGTTCAACAGAAGACGTACACAATCAGAGACTTCGGGTGAACTGTAGACAGCTCTCTTGAGAGACATAATCTCCCTTTATATATAGTAATAGGACGAATCCATTTAGTCCATAAAGGTAGGTCCCATAACAAGTATTCGTATATCAATGATGTATTCTTATATCCATGATATTTCACGGGTGGAACGGAATAGCAGAACAAAAACATGACAGGCATGCTATGTTCCCCGAGAGAGTTTTATGAGGCTAAGTCCTATATTTATATAAGTACCTCCGAAAGAATCGCGATACCTAAGGTTTAAATTAATTTTTAAAAATAAAATGGTTACTGGATGTTTTCATTTTAGCTTTAATTGAAAACTATTTAATTAAATTTACTATATCCAGTAATCAAAATGCTCTGATGTATTTGAAATAAAAATGATATTAATTGGAATGGATTTCCATTATTTTTTCAGCAACATCGACAAAATCAACCATTCTTAGATATTGGTAAACACAAGTTAGTTCTCGGTTTTAAAAATATTGCAAAAATAAAATATATATTTCTAAAACCTTATTTGTAAAATATCAGCTGATTTAAAGTATAATTAATTTGATTTGATTTACTTTATGCTTAAAATATCACAGGAAGCATTATTAACTCGACAGTAGCTTTGTTCTTACCCCGACAGTAGCTGATATGACATGTTGACAGCCTGAAGACAACCTGTTGTTCTATGGAGATTATCTGCAAAACATAATCTAAGAAAATGAATAAACTTAAAAATTTAGGGAAACTATTTTCCGTAAACTAATGTTTTATTAGATTTTAGAAAATTTGACTTAAATTTACTATAGTATAAATGATCGCATGGTCGACCTTACAAAAATAGGCACATTTATACTCAGAAAAAAATTCAAAATTCTTTTAACATATTTTGTTTGATGATTTGTATTAAGCTTTTCCATTTATGATTAGTAAATATAGTTTTCTCTGAATAATAATATCATTTAAAAATGTCGAAGTATTAAATAAAAAAATTAATTAAAATTTAAAAAAAAATGAAAAGCAAAAGGTATTATTCGTCGATTTGTTTTCTTAAAACAATAGTGTCCTTAATATATCTTATTTAAAAAAGTAATTAAAAGATTTTCTAATTAAATACTCTCATGGGTTTATTGCAAAGCAGATATTCCGTAAATGCTGTTTTTGTTTGATAAAAACATATTGATGATTTAAATTCTCTTGCTTTTAACTAAAATAAATATGAACTTCCTGAAATTTTAATTTCTCGAAATTTTATAAAATTAAGAGGACGTAACAGATGTAAAAACATTACCTCGATGAAAGGAAGATAATCGTCTTTTGTATCCATATAAAATGTTGTTTTTACACAACTCCCATGCATCTGTCAGTATATTTACCGCCACTGTCAATGAATTGCAATCTGTGAGTATCCATATACTAAATTATCGAACATTGTTGGATTCCAAAAGTTTCGATGAAAATTTAGATCATATGTCTCCGTATATTATTGTTCCTCCTTGCATTTCTCATTTAATATAGTGTTTCGAAGAATAATGAAAACAAGTGTAGGAAACATTAGACAAATGTGAGTAATAACGGCAGGTGCCAAGTAAATTGGTTTGTGTGATGAAGAATGAAGAAAGGCAGGCGACAAAAAAACAAAAAAAACAAAAACAGATTGATCGAAACGAAAGACAGAATATGGCAAGCAGGTGAAAATAAAAGTGTCATTTGACTCGAATATGGAACTCATTAAAGGAAATGATGAGACTGAAAGAAAGGAGGAAAAATGAAAATAAACGAAAAAAAAAAGAGGGGAAAAATACAATAAATGAAAATGATGTAAGCCAGTCGGAAATAAATATATGAAAACAATAGATACATATTGGTATTACTTTTATACAATAATTTTGTTTATTTTTACAGTGATTTCCAACCTATACAAGACTCGAGGACCACTCGAGGTAGACGGTTTTAGAGTAAAAACCACATCTCATTGGGTTATGTGTGAAATATATAGGTTAAACCTAGACATGAACAAGTTAAGATTGATATGATATTGACGAAGAAACTTCTTGGGAGTCGGTCCCACAAGGCAGTGATCGATGAGGAGAATCTGTGTGTGGAACTTACACCTCACTGGGGGAATACGAAGGGAATGAGGGTAGTTGGATACTGTGGGAGAGGCATAGCGGGTCTTAGCCGTGGAGGTTCGGACTAAGAGGCGTAGTTAATTGAAAAACACTTTCATGGAAACAGCGTTAGAGCAGCCAGAGACCTAAGCCGGCTCGTCTGTGAGAAAAGGGTTGCAGAGTGGAAAATAATTTGTCACCTACGGGGAAGGGAAGACGCGTTTGGTCCCTGTCGAGAGTGGAAGGTGAAGAGGTGTCAGCTTCTGCCCATCCTTAGCAGTGGTACTCCATTTTCGGTTTGATCTGGCTCTTGTAAAGGTAAGGAACAGCATGAAGAGTAGATACGTGCTGGAGCGGTAGAATAAACCGACTATTTTTCCAGCATCGTTAGATCGTCTGTAAGATTTACACTTGAATTTGAACCCCCCTCCCCAACAAAAAAAAAACCCTCAGCATTAATGTAAAGAAGTATCACTAGTTTTCCAACCTTTAAAAAAT